AAACATCGAAGCTATGCAAACATGATCCACTTCTTTGTTTGCATGTGACCAGTATGCCTCCCAACAAAACCAGGCCGTTTCCCTCAAGCCTGGAGGAAATCAAAGCAGCCGAGCCAAATTGACATCTGAAGGCAACCAAACCTTCAAAGCACCAACTGCCTGGGAGCACAGGTTTGTCTCATATTGGGGGGGGGGGGGGCTCAAAATGTGTTGGACCATATGTGTTGGACCATTTTGAATAGACCGCTGAAAGGATGCCCGAGATAGCAAAACACACACCCACACCCTTCCTCAGCTCTTCCCCTGCCTTCCCAAGAAGGCCCCGCAGACTGGTCAGCAAGAGTGAGGTGCCACCTGACTTCTGCAGGGGCCTATGTATGGGCTTGACCAAACAAAAAGGTGGCAAGGTTTATATTGATTTACAATGGCCAGCTGGAAAGCACTAATTACAACAACAAAAAGGACAAGTGATGACTGTGTTGCCAGGCCACGTGTAAAACACGGAGAGCGCGGTGCTGATCAAGTGCAGAACGGCGCACCGATTCTTTCTAGAAACCGTCAGGTGCACCAGGTCAACCTACCCGGCACTCCCGTGATCTCCCGCGCACAGCTAGAGACGGGGAGAGGGAGAGAGACAAAGAGATAAATACCATCAAACAGCAGCAGAAACAATTCTGCATACAGGTTGGCTTCTGCAACTCTCCCGAGCAACATCAGTATGCAACATCCAGCAAACAACTCACCGCACGTTGTGGGTTGAATGGGTGTCCATTCAGTGGATTCCTCACAAAAAAAATCGCGAAAGCTCAAACTCATTGGAAGAAACCTGTAAGGATCAACTTGGTTTGGCACAACCATTTGCAAATTGAAAGAAATCATTCGCTCACATTAGGCCCTTGAATGAAACCAGACCCATGCGCGCGGCAGAAAGGCCTGCGGGTCTGCGGTGTAGACACGGTCTCGCTCTGCGTGCACTTTGGATTCTTGGTCCATGGACAAATGCAGTGGCTGGCTAACAGTGGACAGCGAAAGTGGCCGCACAAATAACCTCACCTAGGCCTAAAAGGTGGCAGGCCTTTGGGAATGTGCAAAGGATGACCGGAGCATCGTAAGCAAAGGAGCTCAAGTAAGACGCGTCATGCACATGAGGAAACATCACAGTTCGCATTGCAGCTAGGAATGGGACCTCGCGTGCTCCAAGGCGCGAATCACACTGCTGAAGGTGCTCATAGCGCGCGCCTGCAGCGAGGTAATGTGCTGCACCCGCAACTAACTGCAGTATTCGTTCGGAACTGCTTGATTTCATTGTCAGCTGTGGCGGGCAATTGAGCCAAACAACGTCAGAACGAACATAGCTTAGCATCTGCAAATCTGTAATCAGGGATATGATGAAGGTAACATCCAACCTATCGTCAGATCTTCCTGAGCCAAGTTGCCAAAGGAGCCAATGCCAGCCACCAATGAATTGGCAGAACCTCAGCTTGCTTCCCATGCGGTGCAGGTGGTGAAAAGAGTTTCGCAACTCGGGCGACCCTGGGAGTCAACTGGGGCAAGTTCAACTGGCGGCATGCACGGGAAAGCAACTCAGCGGCAACTACCGGAAGCAGCAGCTCTGGCAGAAGCACTACAGTGCTAGAAGCGCATGCCAAAACAGTAGTCCTGGCAGTGCACAGGAAGCTCGGGACCGGCTCCAAGAAGCAGCCTTTTGGGACATTGAAAGCCAGTGGCTTCAGATCGTTGCTACCTCTATGGGTTGAACTCCCGCAACCATATCAGATAGCATTGGCTCATGACCGGCAAACCTGCATGGCACATCCGATAGAAACGTGTGCTGAAAAAGCTGAGGTTAGAACCGAAATGAAAACAGGGCTCCCAAGCACGCCTTGGTCATTAAATACCAAATGTTCAACGCCAACCCACATGGCGCACAATGAACTGCCACACCTCGTGACGGATTTCCCTTGCAAACATTCCTGTAGCGAAAAAACAAAGGGCACCAAGGATCGACGCGTCTTCTAACAGTGAATGCCTGGCAAACCACTTGCTCAAGGAAAGTTGGGACAACCCCTTCGAAGGGACAAAAACAGTGCGCAGACGCGACTGGCAACCTGATCCTAAAGAAGTATAAATCGGCGCAGTGTGGCAGTGCGTGCCACTCTCCACCGGTACTAGGGATGGAAGCGCCATGATGAACAGCCATGCTTGCAAACATTGCTTTTGTCTGCGCAAGGAAGAAGATATAACAAGGAAACTGCGCCTGGCCAGGATGTGACACCCAAGCTCGTTGTTTCTCATTCTTGGTGTGGGAAGATAGCTGTCTTGAGCAGCACGGCTACGCAACACTTCGACTAACCTTCCGCTTGCAGTCAAAACGCCGCCGCCACCATCTCGAGAACGCTGCCGAAAAACTCCACAATACGCGAAGGGAGAATGTACCTGAACACCCGGAATGCGGCCCCAGGCATGTTCAGACCCACAGTTCCAGCACGCCGTTGGGGTGGGCAGAAACAGTTAAACGTGTGCCAAAACATCAGGCTCCCTAGTGGCATGTTTGGGGCAGCCTGCCAGCAAACTGGCCCAAAACACCACCCCAGCCCCCCCGACCCCTGTTATTGCTTTGCAATGATGTTGGGCTTCCCGCAATCTTTGGCTCGAGCCTCACGCAGTCTACATGCACACGCATAGAGTAAAAAAACCGCATCCAACTACCATCAAGTGGTACACTCCTTTCGTGATATAGGTTCAGGGCCAATGCTTGCGCCACAGGTCCTCAAAGTTCCTACCCCGTAGTAACGGTCCACAAATGTGGTAGGGGAGCAGAATTTTCAGAAGAAAGGGGGGATGTCGTCAAATGGAGAATAAATTTCAAAAGCCTTTGTCGCGTCCGGCAGACCTATGGGATATTCTTAGGAATCGGTGAACCTATGAATGACCGCCAAGTTGCCGCCATTGTTTGGTGGGCGTGTTAGCTGGCTTCGATATTATGAAGAACTTCGAGATTGAACACGCAGGTACCCAGTCCTTCCGGCGAGACCTCGATGGAGGGGATTCGTTTAAATCAGCGCTGATTCGGGGAAGCTGGGATCCGTGCCAAATCGGGTACGCGAGGATTCAAGGAGCAATGCTCCTGACTTGTATGGTGTCCATGCCACAGGGCTCCCACCAAGTAAAACCTTTTGGGAGCAGCCACCAAACTACAAATGTTAAACAATGTTAAAAACAATGTTAAATATTTAACATTATTTAACTTTCATGGGTGTGCTATTGCTTTATGCTCCTCTTAACTGTCGCATCTGTTTGCCTATGTCTTGGCGAGGAATCACGAATCAGCGCTGATTCGGCAGACCCTTGCTTCTTCAAATCCTTGCCAAAAAATGGCGCTGATTCAGGGATCCTTGCCAACACATGCAAGGGTTCGAGGCTTTCAGCGCTGATTCGCAAGATCCCTTGCCAACACGGCAAGTTTTCCCTGCCAAAATGACGAGGATTTATGAATCCTAGCTGTCCTTGCGGCGCAGGCAATGCTGGTTGCTTCTGATGTGTTGGTGATGTAGCCATTGGTGATGTTGGTTCTGCTGTCCTCTTCTGCTTTGGTTTTTGATGACTCGACTGTGCTGCGCTCTGTCTCTTGCCTTCTGACGCTGTAGGTGCTTTGACTGTTGCTGGCATTGTCTCTGGTGTGGTGAGAGTTGGTGTAGGCAGTGCTGATGCGGGTGCCTTACATGGACTGGTTGTACTTGTGAGGCATTATCTGCCTTCTGATTGTCCTTGCTCTGCCAATCTTGTTGTAGATCCCGATGAGGGACTTGCCTGTTGTTGTATCCTTGCCAAGGCAGATCCCGTGGTAGAGCCTTGGCTCTAGTTTTGGAAATTGTTTCGCCGTTGGAAGCATGTGCTGCACTGTCTCACCAAACTCGCAAAGTGGTGTGTGTTGCTCTCTGTTCCATCTGTTGAAGCAGCTTGTGCATCCATTGCCGTGTGCTGCATACGTGTTCATAATGTATGCACTGTGTCGAACTATCCAAGGCATTAGTGGATGTTTCATTGAAATGTTTCTGTTGTAGTTTTGCCTGATCTGTTGCGCAAACAGTGTTCTGTGCGCTCACTCTACTCCTCCCTGTGATTGTGAGCTGTGTGCTCCTGAGTTCCTTGTGGTGATGTTGCCAGTCCTGTTTGCCACTGATGTGATGAGCGCTGCCAGGAAGCCTTCCTGATTCTGATCTGATTGTAGTATGGTGTGTGATGTTCTTCCACATTCAATGAGGAAGTGCTGTAGTTGTTTGACTGCATAGTCGAAGAGTATCCTCTTGTCGTTTAGCTGTATTGCCATGACCGTCCCAGCTTGGACGTTAATTGCTGTGAGGATTGGATGTACGTCGCTGTCATCAAAGCCTTTGATGTAGCTTGGAAGCTTGCTGTGTTGCTTTGGGTGATTGTGTTGTCCGCCTCTTGCTTGTACGCTTATTGGACACCAAATCCTGTAAGGAAGGTGTCACATTGTGCTCTCGGATCTCCTGTGGTGTTGGTTGCTTAGGTGCTTGTACTGCTTTTGCTTTTGTGCCTTGTTGTTGTTCCTCACCATCTGACTCAAGTTGTGTTGGAAATTCCTGATGTTCTTCGAAGTTTGTCCAGCCTGACCAAGGCTTATTTGATGTCTTTGCCGGCTGTGTTGTCCATTCGTCTTCTACCAATCTGATGTTGCGCTCGCCTCCTACTATTTGTAATTTGGTCTGTCTATGTCTGTCTCCATGGTGTGAGTCGCTTGATGTCTGGCCCGTCATGTGTCTGCTCTGGTGTGTAAAATGCTGTGCGTGGCTCGATGTGCTCTCTCTTCCAGTCTGGGCCTTCTCTGTACCAGTTGTCTCCTCCAGGGTGTGCTTCTGAAGGGTTTGGAAGTCCATGTCCAGCTGCACCTTTGGTGGTGTGTGGTGCTGCTGTCTCACTGATTGTTGGTGGTGTTTTCTCATTCAATCTCTTGCGTAGGTTGTGCTGGTCACTTGTGTTGTGACCTTCTGCGGTGCGCTCTTCGGCTGTGTCTTTGCCGCAAACTGTTGCTGTAGCGTCTCTGGCAGTGCGTACCATTCTTAGTCCTGAATACTGCTGCTCCTTTCCACATTTGCTGTTCTGCTTTGTGTGTCACTTCCATTGTTTGATACTTGTCCTCAAATGTGTTCGTTGCACCATCCTGGAATCTGATGGTTGTTCTCCCCTCAAGTTGTTCCTCTGGGGCTGGACACTGTGTTCTTGATGGTGTGAAGAGTGTCTTTCTGTGTTGCCTGTGTACTCTGACAAGTTCGCCTTTTGTGATAGTAATCCTATCATGCCAATTTGTCTTTGTTCTGTGTTGTGTATTTATAGCTTTGTTCCTTTTGTAGGAAGAACAGGCCATTTCTGTTCTCCAGTGTGCTGTTGAATTGGATTGTCATCCAATGTAAGCCCTGTCTTTTTTCCGTGTCTTTCGGCGCTCAGAAGGGGTCGGGCTATCTCAGCTGGTAGCCGGAACATTTGCATTGACACCGGCGTGCGTCTAACCTGTGTTTCCGTGGCCCTGCATTCAAACAGATGTAGTTTGCCTGAAATTACAAAAAATTGGAGGTCTCCTTTTTTTGTTCTCTCTCTCCCCGACCTTTCCAGATCAGAGTCGGGCAATAGTAGGACCTCTTTCGGCCGTCGTACACGCAGAAGCAAGATCAGATGAACGACTTCCTTCGAACGCAGACGCAAGATCAGACGAAAGACTTCACGGTTTTCCCAAGTTTCCTATCTGGTTTTCCACCTTTTCCTAGCTGTGGAAAAACAGGGCCCGTGTAGCGTCCCTTCTGGACAACAAGTACAGATGGGGATAGTGTGCTTTCCGGCCGATTGACATTACCGCCTCGAGAAGAAGTCGATCCAGGCTGGCACAACCTTCGCAGAGAACCTGTCAGTGACAACAAACCAAAGTTTATCGGACACAAACGGCGCCGGTAAACAACCCGCAGCGCAACCCAACTTCTGCGATCCTGGGCAACGGATGACGAAGTTCATTTTTGCCAATGGGCAGCCTGCCGGCGTAAATTGGACCTTGTGTCCTATATCATACGGATCCTCCAGCCAGCACTAACACAGACATCCTGGAACTGCCCCGGTGCTCCGAAGTGTTGAAGATATGGGCTTGTTTGTGACGGTTGAGCACGCACCTCCTTCCAGAGTATCTGCTTCTCCTCCATGTTCTACATCAGCCATTGGGTTCACTTGATAGCTGAAGTTCTTCACTTCTTTTGGTGACAACAATTTCGCGGTGTAATGCGCGCACGAATAATAAGTTGCTGTTTCATCTCGTCGTGAATCCAGCGATCCTTCTGCTCTGACGCAATAGGCTTTGGAGGTGCTGCTTGCCTGGGCGCTGAGGGCGTGGCTGCGCGCGCAATCTTGGGCACTAACGAAGACGATGTAACGAACCTGTTACTTTCATCATCGTCGTGCACGTAGTGGCTGAGACTCTTGGAAGCAATCTCTCCATGATTTTCTGCTTTGCCACGCTGCAAGATCGACAACGCATTTGCGCTGGATACCGGAACTGGTTCAAGAAACATTCCACTTCTTCGCAGGCGAACAAGCCCATGGTCACATCGTGGAAAGGAAGAACCGTCTTCACCTTTGCAGACGAGTCGCCCCCTGCTGCAGAGAATCCACGAGCGACCCTCGCAACGATCATTGCCACGCACCACTTGGGACGGAAAGCAAATCACCGAATCGTGTTGGTAACTGTCAAGAGACGGCAAGGTGACGTCCCGTGGGACGCTATGCACCGAACCCTCAAGCTGTAATACCAACCACGTAGAAAGGTGTATACGGACGATGCCGTTATAGCCGAACCCGTGTAAACGTTGTAAGGGAGAAGGAATGATAGTTACAACAGTGGTCCTGACAAATGCAGCGCAAGCGAAGTGTTTTCGCTCTCAATGCCGATCACGTATGTATGCAGTCACACATCAGATCTTGAACCTTGATTGTGTCTTGAGCCAAATGGCGATCAATGGAACTTGGGAAGCAACACCAACAAGGACCTCAGAACAGCTACCCAATTTCGGCACGGGGCCTAGAGGGTTTTAACATCCCCCATTTGGGTCGCATTGTTCATCATGCGGTCCAAACACCACAAAACGTTCCACTGGCCACGGCTTCAACTACGAAATCGTGTCGTGCATTCTTTTACTTGCTATCACTACACCGTTCATTCGCTGTGAAACATGCCGGGTTCGATTGTACGAAAAGTGAAACATTCATCCTCCAATCGAAGCACACATCCATATGCAGGTGTATATAATACACTGTGGCCACTTCACTTGACCGCCAGTGAACATTCCAGCTGCCGCATTTGCGCATCGCGCAGCTGTCATCCATAAATGGGTTGGCCGCAAAAGTCCACCAGAGGCGCCCGCTTGTAATCGGTC